GAGACGAGACCGAGTCCTGATGTAGACACTGAGACGAGACCGAGTCCGAATGATGTAGAGACTGGGACGAGACAGAGTCCGAATGATGTAGACACTGAGACGAGACCGAGTCCTGATGTAGAGACTGGGGCGAGACCGAGTCCTGATGTAGAGACTGGGACGAGGCCGAGTCCGAATGATGTAGAGACTGGGACGAGACCGAGTCCGAATGATGTAGACACTGAGACGAGACCGAGTCCTGATGTAGAGACTGAGACGAGACCGAGTCCTGATGTAGACACTGAGACGAGACCGAGTCCTGATGTAGAGACTGGGACGAGACCGAGTCCGAATGATGTAGAGACTGGGACGAGACCGAGTCCGAATGATGTAGACACTGAGACGAGACCGAGTCCTGATGTAGAGACTGGGACGAGACCGAGTCCTGATGTAGAGACTGGGACGAGACTGAGTCCGAATGATGTAGAGACTGGGACGAGACCGAGTCCTGATGTAGAGACTGGGACAAGACGGAGTCCGAATGATGTAGACACTGAGACGAGACCGGGTCCTGATGTAGAGACTGGGACGAGACTGAGTCCGAATGATGTAGAGACGGGGACGAGACCGAGTCCGAATGATGTAGAGACTGGGGCGAGACCGAGTCCTGATGTAGAGACTGGGGCGAGATGGAGTCCGAATGATGTAGAGACTGGGACGAGACCGAGTCCGAATGATGTAGAGACTGGGGTGAGACCGAGTCCTGATGTAGAGACTGGGACGAGACCGAGTCCGAATGATGTAGAGACTGGGGTGAGACCGAGTCCTGATGTAGAGACTGGGGTGAGACTGAGTCCGAATGATATAGACACTGAGACGAGACCGAGTCCTGATGTAGAGACTGGGACGAGACCGAGTCCGAATGATGTAGAGACTGGGACGAGACCGAGTCCGAATGATGTAGAGACTGAGACGAGACCGAGTCCTGATGTAGAGACTGGGGCGAGACGGAGTCCGAATGATGTAGAGACTGGGACGAGACCGAGTCCGAATGATGTAGAGACTGGGGTGAGACCGAGTCCTGATGTAGAGACTGGGACGAGACCGAGTCCGAATGATGTAGAGACTGGGACGAGACCGAGTCTGAATGATGTAGACACTGAGATGAGATCGAGTCCTGATGTAGAGACTGGGACAAGACCGAGTCCTGATGTAGAGACTGGGACGAGACCGAGTCCGAATGATGTAGAGACTGGGACGAGACCGAGTCCGAATGATGTAGAGACTGGGACGAGACCGAGTCCTGATGCAGAGACTGGGACAAGACCGAGTCTGAATGATGTAGAGACTGGGACGAGACCGAGTCCGAATGATGTAGAGACTGGGATGAGACCGAGTCCTGATGTAGAGACTGGGACGAGACCGAGTCCGAATGATGTAGAGACTGGGGCGAGACCGAGTCCTGATGCAGAGACTGGGACAAGACCGAGTCTGAATGATGTAGAGACTGAGACGAGACCGAGTCCTGATGTAGACACTGAGACGAGACCGAGTCCGAATGATGTAGAGACTGGGACGAGACAGAGTCCGAATGATGTAGACACTGAGACGAGACCGAGTCCTGATGTAGAGACTGGGGCGAGACCGAGTCCTGATGTAGAGACTGGGACGAGGCCGAGTCCGAATGATGTAGAGACTGGGACGAGACCGAGTCCGAATGATGTAGACACTGAGACGAGACCGAGTCCTGATGTAGAGACTGGGACGAGACCGAGTCCTGATGTAGAGACTGGGACAAGACCGAGTCCGAATGATGTAGAGACTGAGACGAGACCGAGTCCTGATGTAGACACTGAGACGAGACCGAGTCCTGATGTAGAGACTGGGACGAGACCGAGTCCGAATGATGTAGAGACTGGGACGAGACCGAGTCCGAATGATGTAGACACTGAGACGAGACCGAGTCCTGATGTAGAGACTGGGACGAGACCGAGTCCTGATGTAGAGACTGGGACGAGACTGAGTCCGAATGATGTAGAGACTGGGACGAGACCGAGTCCTGATGTAGAGACTGGGACAAGACGGAGTCCGAATGATGTAGACACTGAGACGAGACCGAGTCCTGATGTAGAGACTGGGACGAGACTGAGTCCGAATGATGTAGAGACTGGGACGAGACCGAGTCCGAATGATGTAGAGACTGGGGCGAGACCGAGTCCTGATGTAGAGACTGGGGCGAGATGGAGTCCGAATGATGTAGAGACTGGGACGAGACCGAGTCCGAATGATGTAGAGACTGGGGTGAGACCGAGTCCTGATGTAGAGACTGGGACGAGACCGAGTCCGAATGATGTAGAGACTGGGGTGAGACCGAGTCCTGATGTAGAGACTGGGGTGAGACTGAGTCCGAATGATATAGACACTGAGACGAGACCGAGTCCTGATGTAGAGACTGGGACGAGACCGAGTCCGAATGATGTAGAGACTGGGACGAGACCGAGTCCGAATGATGTAGAGACTGAGACGAGACCGAGTCCTGATGTAGAGACTGGGGCGAGACGGAGTCCGAATGATGTAGAGACTGGGACGAGACCGAGTCCGAATGATGTAGAGACTGGGGTGAGACCGAGTCCTGATGTAGAGACTGGGACGAGACCGAGTCCGAATGATGTAGAGACTGGGACGAGACCGAGTCCGAATGATGTAGACACTGAGATGAGATCGAGTCCTGATGTAGAGACTGGGACAAGACCGAGTCCTGATGTAGAGACTGGGACGAGACCGAGTCCGAATGATGTAGAGACTGGGACGAGACCGAGTCCGAATGATGTAGAGACTGGGACGAGACTGAGTCCGAATGATGTAGACACTGAGACGTGACCGAGTCCTGAGCCGAGACCAAGTCCTGATGTAGACGCTGAGACGAGACGGAGTCCAAATGATGTAGACACTGAGACGAGACCGAGTCCTGATGTACAGACCGGGACGAGACCGAGTCCTGATGTACAGACTGGGACGAGACCGAGTCCTGATGTACAGACCGGGACGAGACCGAGTCCTGATGTACAGACTGGGACGAGACGGAGTCCGAATGATTTCAAGGCAGGTCTTTTTCTGTTTTTTATCACTCCTTCATATCATTTAAAGAAATACACTACATGATGAATCTACAACATACTTGTTGTAAAGAACGTTATATACTTACAAAACATTCCAACGTGACACTTTAACATGAGCATATATTTACATTTTCAGATGCAATTTTTCTTAGTGAGTTTTCATTCTGTAGATTTGTCCACTGCACAAAATATTCTGCTCAAACTATCTTCATGCATTAACACACATGAACACACACTCACTCACCTTCATGTTGAACTCCTGCTTCTCTTCGGAGGAAAAGGCCTTGAACATTTTACATGTCTATTGAATTTCAGATCTGTAACTGACAGAAAGAAACTAGATCAAAGAGACAAAAAAGGGGAGATTACTAGTTGAAACACAGTTGTACAGGACACCTAATCCAGTAAGGACACACATCAGGACTGTACCAGGAAGAGTTTTGGAAAAATTATATCACTAATAAAACATTTGAAACAGTAGAGGTCACTCTAACACAGCAATAAACAGCTTTTATGTAGGTACAGCTGTGTTTGTAAAAAGACCAAACTGGACTTTAATGAAG